ATATACATTTCTATATGTGTATATATATATACATACATACACAGAGTGTACCAGGTAATTGTCGCCACGATTTTTCAAGCATTTCCGATAGTCTGACAAAAAGTGTGTTGAATAAAAATTGATCAGCTTTCAATCGACTACAAATTGCAATATAAGAAATTTGCAGCCTATTCAAAGCTGATTAACTTTTATTCGAAACATTTTTTTTTTCAGATTATCGGAAGTACCTGAAAAATCGTGGAGACAGTTACGTGGTACATCCTGTATATATGTATACATATATACATATACAGGGTAATTCTAACAATTGGGCAACTATAGCTGTTTCGAGTGAAGTTAGGAAAACAGTCGTAGATGAAAATTTTGCACTGCTTAACAAGCTCCACCATCCCTTAACACGATATCTTTCGCAAGTGCTTCGATGCGCTTATAAAGTGTAATTACACTTCTTTTTTTTTTAAGGGTACTGCATTTTTTTTAATATAGATCGACTTTTCGAAGTATTTCACGTGTGAAAATATTAAAGTGTGATGTTCGAAAAATCAATACTTGGTGAGATATTTGAAATATTTGATATGACGTTATGCTTTATTCAGTGTTCGAACGTTTCACATATTCAACGAAACATACGCACGTCTTATGAAAAATTGGAAACATCTCAGGAATTATTGATTTATCTAAGGTTACACCCTGATACTTTTATTTTCCTTAATATATACATATGTATGTATATACATACTTACACCTTACTGTAATCAATAAATATTGATTAATAGTGAAATAAAGAAATGCATCGATAAAATATCTGAGGGTGGAAAAGGTTTGTCTAAATTATTTAGTAAATAGTACCTGCTGATCATGATTATCGATTATGCTCGATGAACACGCGTGTTTTTTAATTTCTGGCTCTGACAGGGAAAAGGAACATCGATTTGTAACATCAACTATACTATTTATGGGAGATTGATAATGATAAAAATTGCTTGACAATCTGTTAATATGTACAAGTATACTGTACACAATTTGAAATTAATAACGCGAGATTGTTAATGAAGAAGTATAAAACATGCAAGAATTTCTATTTCTGTTAGCTGACGTTCTTTCTTGTGGATTTTGTACGAGCAACAATTTACAGGTGTCCATTCATTATTCTCGTTCATACTGTGTTCGTAATTGTATCATCGAAAGGATTGAGAAACTAAAACGGTATATAATCGTTGATATAAATCAAACCCGACAGGTTGATTTACTATTTTAGTTGTAATTCTACAGCGAGATTAAAGACAAATGTTCTCACTACTCTTTCATCTATACGAGAGCTACGTCGAATTGCTGCTCTACTATCATCAACTTAATAATACCTTTCTTCAAATTAAGGCTCCAGCACAAACTGTAAACGTGGAGACGGTATAAGTGGATTGTATGGACACAATTTTAGAGGGAAAAACATTCTTTAACCGTTAAATCTTTTTGTCAAATTTTCGTTTTGCTCTAACAGAACGTACAAAAAAAAAAAAAAAAGAAAAAAGAAGAAACAACCGAAAACGTTACTTAGTTAAATGACAACACAGTTGATAAATGATTTACTGGAAGAATACGATTGACAACAGTGTTACAGTACGCGGAGAAAAATTGCTTGAAATGGTAGCAATTGAAATAATAATAAACAAAATACGACGAAACAACGCGATGAAATTTTTAAACGTCGACCCTCGGAACTGAAAATTCATCAATGTCAAATGATACATGTTATTGCGACAAGCGGTGATTTTTGGCTCGAGTTCAAATTCTTCCGCCGATTCAGAATTCGATCTTCGAAATATACCTTCCTAAATTTTGTCCGTCTGAATCATTGCGGGATGTTGCTTGCAAGCCGATGCACGCAACCGGGTTTATCGGTCCGACGTTTTCTCGACTTTCTGACTTCTACATATTGTTCTCGACTCGATAAAAGAAGAGAGGATGGTAAAGCAGACGCGAACATATTGAGAATAGTATTGACTCACCCTCGCAGCGATGGACGTAGTCGGTTTCTCGAGTAGATCCCAGAGCCACTTCTGATATTGCGCGCACTGTCCTTCACCGAACTCTTCCTCTTCCCTTTGCCTCAGCGACTCAGCCTCCTTGCGCATTTCCTCGTGCACGTGCTCCTTTCGCTGATGATACTTGTGCTGGCAACAACTTTCGAGGTAGAGCTCATCGACACCCCAGTACTCAAGATCGTCACTGAACGCCAGTACGCACATCTCGTCGACGAGATGTAGCTTGCCGGTACGATAGAAATTCAATATCGAACTGAAGGACTTTGGATGCCGATCGAAGAAGTACTCGTTGTCGATTAAAGAGTAATCGTCGCAGAGTTCTGTGATCGCCTCGTGGGTGTTGCAATCCTTGAGACGGCCGAGACGCGTGTGCGGTAACCTTTCAAGGGTACGCCATAGTACCTCGTGCTTAACGCCACCGACGTTGATCGAGACCCGTCTGTTAAGGGCCTTCGACCTCATGATCATAAACGGCTCAGGCGGTAGGGACGTCATCGACCTCGAGTAGGCACGCTGCTGCTGCATCTGCAGCGGCAGGGGCGGCGGCGGTGGCGGCGGCGGCAGGTTCCCCGGCGCCACGGAACCGGTCGGTCCTATGGATGAGGAGAATGGAGCGTACCGGACCTCCTTATTCGTTCCACCGCCTCCTCCTCCTCCTCCTCCTCCTGCTCCTCCTCCGACACCAGTTTTTCCTCCACCGACAACGACAACCCCTCCTCCCGCTACCGTCACTCCACCGCCCATACTAACCCCTGACCCGACTACCACGTTTCCTCCGCTTCCTGACCCGATACTCACGCCAAGGGCTGTTGTTGTTGCTCCTCCTCCGCTACCGGTGCAGCTAGCGACTGATGCACCGGCTGCACCAGTCCGCTGCAACGTCGTCGTGCCGCCACCCTCGAACACGAAACCCTGGTCGGTGCCGATGTAGGGCACCGTGCACGACGACGACGACGATAGCACCGGGCCCGTGACCACGGCGCTCCCATTACGTTCCCCGTCCGCCAGTGTTGAGACGTCTTCGAATCTCTTTTCGCTTAGCAACCGTTGTACTACTAGCACCCGATTACTGTTACTACTATTTTAATTTTATTATTATTGTTGTTATTGTTATTATTATTATTCTTATTGTTATTATTATTATTACTTTTATGATATTAATGCATCGGCTAATAAGGTTCTTTTCGGCTTTCTCTCGTTTTCTACCTTTTCCTCTCTTTTCCTCTCTTTTTCTTTTCCTATTATGTCCCCTTCTTTCCTTCTTTTGTACTCTTCCTTCTCCTCTTCCTCTTCCTTCTTTTCCTCTTCTTCTTCTTCTTCTTCTTCTTCTTCTTCTTCTTCTTCTTCTTCTTCTTCTTCTTCTTCTTCTTCTTCCTCCTCCTCCTCACCCTCGTTTCCCTTCTTGTGCTTCATCCGTACCTACGTCTTTCCTCTTCCATTGGCTCGGTTAAACCGCGCCACGTCATAATCTGAAAGAAAACATCAACGATTCGTTAACCACTTGAAACTAAAATATATATATGTATATGTAATAGAAACGCTAAAAGGAATGAGTAAAATTAGTCAAACTACGAGTTGGAAGTATGTGATTCACTTTTAGCTTGAATTAAACGTCGTGCGAGTGTTGTCCTGGCAAGTGTTTTTCGTGTAATAATAAAGAAGACGGATATTTAGGTGATTCCGTTTAGCTGAGGTACACCATGTATAAATTCATTTTATTATTTACGAAATTATGCACACGCACCCAATGTAATACACACACACACACATGTGCTTGCTTGTACTACGAAATGTAACCGAATAATAGAGATTATTTTTATGATTCATCGCAGCTCTCTATCCTTCCTTAATATCTGATACTCCACCGCCTGCCGTTCAGCTGACACGAAAATAAGATCCACGTTATTTCAGATTTGTTTAGAGTTTAGAGCATCTCCTATTCTGTTTAGAAGAATTCCACTAATGTGTGTCTATGTGTGTGTGTGTGTGTGTGTGTGTGTGTTTAGGAAAGAAACACGGTGTCCGTAATAAATTGTGACGAAAAAAAAAAAAAGGAAATACACGATGCTTCCTCTAATGAGGCGAAATTTTCAATCTAATATTATTATATTGCCCGTGGTGTTACTATTTTCGTACACATGGCGGAATATGTGCATCATATATATGCACGATTGTGTGGATTCTCGGCAAACGTTTGGAAGTACCGTTTCCATCTAGAAAAAAGCAGGGGAAAACGAAGAAAAAAAGAAGGGTTTCGGTAAGAAATCCAAAAAGTGTGTGCTGCAAACATTATGTGTGACTCGTACTATTTATATACGAGGTTAATACTCTCTGACCTAGATTCCCTGTGAAAAGTACCTGTCTCAATAGTGCTGATTGAATCGTGCACGTGGGCTCGTGCAAAGTCTAGATATCAATATGTAACAGGAGCGATTACTTTGAGGAAATGCCGTGAGTTACGATAAATGGCTATTAAACATGCACGCCAAAGAAATACGAAATTACACGTATAAGAAGAATACTTGAAAGAAGAAAAATAAAGAAGCGGTACACTTTGTGTACGAACGAAACAGCGTATGTTTATACAATACACCAGTGTACGGTATTTATGTAAGCATTTCATAGAGATGGTACAATTTTCATTCAACTTTCTACATTATTCATAAGACGTTTTTTCCCTTCAATTCCAAATATTGTAACATGTAATTGCAATTTCTATGGAAATATTTTTTCTTAATTTTATCGACCAATATTATTTATAATTCTTCATTACTTTATCTGTATCAGCTGGTTTTATTTCATTTATAATTTACTCGTGTTACGTGTTCTTAATTCATTCACGACAATTCTCAATTAGCGTTTCGAATATCGGCAAATGATCAAATTTAGTGTTTTCCTTTACGAAATTTGTTAATGTAGAGAAGAGAAATACCCTTAGACAGTGTACACGCACAATAGATGCAAACGATGAAATGTGGCCGCGATTGATAGCACTGATCTGCAATGATACATAAGGAAAAACGAAAGGAGAGCAAAGAAATGTGCAAAAATTGTTTCCCTCTGACAAGTAAGTGGAAGTAAAATTCAAGGAGCAAGTCGTTAAAATGTGTACAATTAAATAGCACGATCTCTAATAGTCTGTTCTGTTGCAACTTTTGCATACTTTGGTCACTGATCTGTGTCACATCAAACTGTCTCTCTTAATTATGCTTTGTGTTTAGCGTTCGTCTAACTGAGACACGACCGTTTTTGCACAAGGCAGGAGTAGAAAACTGAAATTAATCGAATAAAGATTTATCGGAAATCTTCTGAAAAAAAACTCTATCAACGAAATCGACGAAATGTCTTTTTATCCCTTTCAACATTGTATCGTATCGGTAATATTGTATTTTATTTTAATGTTACATTCTCGATGTTTTATTCTAATGTATTTCATAATAAACTTGCATTCTTCTGTATTTTAGAAACATTTCAATAATTTGTTACATAAAAGAATCAGAGATTTCGAGTAAAATATTTGAAATTTCTACAAAAAGAGGAAACTCTTCGAACAATTTCAACGATCAGAATTAACAAACAAGTAATTGAAATCTTTATGCACAAAACAATACATATTTTCGTAATTCGAAATAGCAATTACGATAATGTTACCAAAAGAGTAAAGTTACCAAAGGAGTAAAGTAAGAGAAAGTCACCTAAAAGAAACCTCGATGGTAAAACAAACAGAAATCACATTTAGTTCGATTCAATTGTGAAACAATAATATAATCGCACCGAATTTATGAAAATACCGATAAAGTATTTCATTATATGTATTACACTTAAAAGTACAACAATGTTCAAACTGTAACGTAAAACTTGTACCCCACAGATTCTTCTCTTTCTCACAATTACATAAATTAATATATAGATATGAAATAAGAGCCAGTTGAACAAGAAAAACGAGATATCGTCGTACCATCCCAGTGGATAAAGTAAACGTGATACGAAAACACATCATCTAAGATAATTCTCTGTCAACGGTATAACGATACCTGCAGACAGACAGACGAATCTGATGAAAAAGAAGAGCTAAGGAAGGAGGAGGAGGAGGAGGAGGAGGCAAATAAATTGGATCTATCTTTACCAGGGTGATTCTGAACGCATCACAAATACGTTTAGCTAGTACACCTATAAAATCTGTGGGAAAGGGTAGCTACGCGTAAGTTACAATTATCGTGACGATTGTTTGATATCTATACTATAGAACCTCTTTCGGAGTACACTCCGTTAACTATTTTGCGCAGATCGATCAGTGTGGGCGGAAACAACTGCGCGAAGCGGAATACTCCGATCTCTGTATGACCATTTAAATGTCCCTTAGATCATTTATTAAGATAACGCAAATGAAATTTTCATACAGATAAAGGAAGAAAGTCTGTAGCTTAAATGCAACTGTAACATTGCGCGGGGTGCAATTTGTCCTATGTAAGAATTCTTCGAAGCGAAAGCAAACATTGCTTTTCGTAGAAACTTTTTTACATTTGTCATTAATAGAATGATATACTTCTCGTCTGATTTTCAAGCGTTTTTTTCTGTTTTTTTTTTTTTTTTGTCACGGAATTGGAGAAAAAATTAAATTTCGACGACGCAAAACCATGAGTAATATCTAAGTCGAACATCAATTTTCTATCCTCGTGATATTACCAAGAAGTACTTCAAATGTCACGGCACAGCATTATTCGTGGCATAATTCCAGACTGGCTCTCTTTTTCTCTCTGTCTCTCTCTCTCTTCCCTTTATATTCTTGGGTGACTTCGTACTCGTTATGCTGAATGTTCCCGTTATCGATTAAATTATTATTTCTCGGTGTTATTCAGGCTTATGTGCACAATCGACATGTACGTCCGTCTTTTGTCCAAGGGATAACCCTTATCCGTTACGAGTAATCTTTTTACACGACATTAACCAATAGACCAGGGACGTGTAACACACAAGATTTGACGCTGTATTATTTAAATGCATGTTATTCGCCCGTATTGTTTGACTATACAGGCTGGATCTTGGCTACGCGTCAATATCATGTTGTATGGTTAGCAAAAATATTCGTAAAGTGTCGTAAGATACGCCAGTTTGAAATTCTTTGCTTTTAATAACGTCGCTTGGGATTCGAATTCACGGCGTAGTGTAGAATAAACATGATACGCATAGATATGGATTTACAGAAGGAGAAAAATATCGAAACATCTATAGAAAAAAGTGTATACGACATACGAAGTGTAATAGAAAATTATTCGAACGAGCTACTTCTCGCGATCGAGTTCGTATCATCGCGGGTAACAGTAGTAAAGATGGATGGTTAGCGTTACCGCACAGTAGTAAAGAACAAGCATTTACATACAAGCTGCATCTCTTGGTATCTTAACCGAAAGCCTGACTCATCTTCTTTATTCTCTTATATAGGTCAAAACAAAATTATTCACCGTTACAGTCCACGATGTTGTCATTAAATTATTGCAATTGGAAAATTCGCCTAAAGATCCCGCAAAAATAAAGATTATCGCTCACAAATAAAAAAATAATCATTTTGCCTCGATACTATTCCCCTTTTTCGTTCCGTATACTTTCATCTTTCAAACAGAATATTTTCGGCAAAACTCTATATTCTATGGTTTTATTTTTTCTGGTTTTCAAATTGTCCATATAACGGTTTACAGTAAGTACTGGTATTTACCGTTAAAATTGTTTTAGTAATAATAATATAGACATACTTGATCATAGAACAATTGAAATGGAAACAATAAAGCAACGCTACTAAAATGTTAAAGCAAAAATTACGATTTGATTTTTAGCAAATTCAAGGACGAGTGATTCAGCTAAGAGATTCATATTATCTGGGTCTGTACGCATGTTATTCGGGGACAGTATTTGACGTATACCGGTACGATTCTATAATGAAGTAGCTACTATACGGAAATAGACGTGCTGTAGTGGTAGAAACGAACAGAACAAAACTGAACAAAAGGATGCTGATTTTTATAACTCACCTCTGTTTTAGGCACAGGTACAAATCGTCCGAAAAAGTAAGACATTGCACCCCATGATATAGTAGCACATCTTGTCGAAGAATAGCACGACGAATAATGCACCGTGACGAGTAGTGACTAGTAGTGACGACGGTATCACACTGCCACTTGTTCCACACCAAGCGCTGCAATCGATGTTCGCGCGTCTATCGATTAGGAAATGGTTAATGTGACATGGTCATTTAGGTGTAATACGAAAGAAAAAATAATTTCTCGCTCTTCTTCTTTCTTTATTCCAAACCCACGAGGGAAACCCACGATTCAAAATTAAGAATCGAAACTTTGGTACGATAACAAAAAAACTTTATTAAAAGATAAGTTATTCTGCGCGATCTGAATTTTTAACATTTGTAACTGCTAACAGCGATGATTGTGTATCCGCTAATGATGACGACACGGATTCTACTAATATTATAACTGCTGCTACTACCAACAGAGATATTGTTTGGACTATAGCCAGACGTGCGCCTGCGTCGACGAATATTGTACGCTACCCTGTCTATCGCGCGTGTCATGAAAATTTGACCTCCACCTATGACGCTCGCTTTTCTCTTTTCACAACCGATAGCTCGATATCAATTTTGAACCTGTATAATGTTTGTGCATGCGCACGTTGCGTATGCGCGCGCATAAAATACATGTAACTAAAAAAGGGAAATTACGCGGGCCGTTTAAATTACTAAAATGGAAATGGAAACCTTAAAGGAAAAGAAGAAAAAATATTTGGGTTACACAACAGAATAATTTTAAGTATCAAAACTACATATTTCAATAATGGAATTCCCTATCTGTAATAGGGATTATTTCTTTAAGACTTACATAATTTTTAATTTAAAACTTGAAATTACATTTAAACGAATCAATATCTAATAACTTTGTCAATGTAATAACTTTGATTAAGGCCATGCAAATTACAAATAATATGAAAAATAAGTATAAAAAATACTGTAAAACAAAACATACGGATACGTTTTATTCTTTAGAAAGGTAGTAAAATAATAAATTGTATTTCAAAAAATAATGAATGAAATTAAAAATTTTTAACAGTTCTCAAACATTATGACAAAAATAAATATATAAAAAAATTAGTTTATGCCCTCCAAGAAACGTGTACATTATCTGTTCGATATCTTTGTATACAAGTTGTTTCTGTCCATGGAGTATGTCCCTGGCTTTTGTACTGAAGTAAGCCAGCTACAGCAATCATTACGCCATTATCTATACAAAACCGTTCGTCTGTAGCATAAAGTACTGCATTTCTTTCTTTACACATAACTTTCATCATATCTTGTAGTCTTTCATTACATCCTACACCACCAACAATTAATACTTCGGATGATTTAACATGAGCCATAGCCCGTTCTAGAAATGTTATTAAATTAAATGTACAATGTGTTTCTCATATTATAGCATTTTGTTTATACTATAAACAACAACTATACCTGTAATTTCGATAAGCATAGCAAATACTGTTTCTTGTAAGGAGAAACATAAATCCTCTATAGTACATTCTTTTGAAGCCAACCAAGAAGAAACATGTTCTTCTATATAACTTAAAATTCCAGAAAAAGATACATCCATTCCTTTTACTACATAGGGTAGTGAAATTAATTTTCTTCCTCTTCATGTACATAAAATTTCATATAAAATGTTATAAATGTACACAACAAACGCAAAACATCTAACTATAATAAAACAACCTACTTCTTTGCTAATTGTTCTATGTTATAACCAGGACTGGGATCATTTGAAAGTTTTAATAATCTTGCAAAACGATCTAAACAGTTGCCAACAGCAATATCTATTGTTTCACCAAAAATATGATATTTCTGACGAGAATAAGCAATAACCTGTGTATTTCCACCAGAAACATATAAAACAATTGGATTTATACTTCCTGTGATCAGTCGTCCCATTTCTATATGACCAATACAATGATTCACTGCCACCATTGGCTTATTATACATCTGAGCAATTGTTCTTGCTACCAATGCGGTAACTGTTAATGGTGCTCCCATCCCTGGTCCTTTTGTATAACATACCACATCCACATCTTTCATTGTTATTTTAGCATCATCCAATGCCTTTTCCAGAACACTGAGAATATGTTTTCTATGATGCTGTGCAGTTTCACGAGGTAAAAATCCTTAACAAAATAAGTTTTCAAAAAATGATTAGCAAGTGTAAATAATTTTTATAATCAATTTATGTCATTAAATAGGTAAACATATAAAAGGTTAAGTTCACCTTCACCTGGTGGAGTAATATACGTATGACGTACATTTGACAAAACATTTTTATCCTGAATAATTCCAACGCCTAACTTATTTGCACTACCTTCTAATCCAATTGCAATTAACATTTTTGTTTTCAATTTTGAAAAATATCAAGGACACTTGTATGGTTAGTAGCCATTGGCACGTGGATAAATTGATCATCCAATAGAAAACACAGACAACTTGCGCGATGTAATCGTATCTATTTAACTTTATTTGACGTTTACTTGTACTCCCATACATGCGCGCGCATTGCGTACACACGCGCCTTATTCTACAAACATACACACACACATATATGTACATATGTATATATGAGGAATAATGGAAAAAACATTTTTATAAAAATAAAAAATGAGTTATTTATTTAACATAAGCGTCTGCAAAATGATATATTATGAATAAATGTAACAACAAAAATGATTTCGTAGGTAAGGCATTTATGAATTGTCAAGTTCCTGTAGCGACATCTGCTACTTATCTGGTTTGGAATGCATTCTCTGCATTTGGTGCGGCTGTAGCAAGAAAGTCTTAACAATCTTCATTCGTAGAACGTCACGCGGAAGTGATTCACTGATTCTTGTGCCAGAAAATGCAAGTTTGCAAACTGCCGTGGTGAGAAAAGTGAGTGTCGTTATCTCGAAAGTTTCTTGAGCCCGGTGAATGTCGTGAAATTCCTCGAGTAGCGCTCACTGGGTGGGCAATTGATTTTCAAAGTGACCGTCGGGTACGAACGAATGAACGGCTCTGACGCGTTGGTACGAATAGCAGCCAACGCTGCCAAAGTTAGATCTATTCGAATACTGTCGAGTAAAAGTTTTGTGAAGCTACGTTAAAAAAATATAGTGCAAAGGTGTGTAGCAGCAAATGGAAAAAAGCGAGAAGAGTCGACCTTCGCTTTTAATGAAAGAAAGGAGCGAAGGAGGCTATGCGCATACATACCGGTTCCGGACACTCTCTTTCTTTCTCTTTATTTCCTCAAGCGGTACTTGAGGTATTCCGTGCTTCTCGAGTACTCCGTTACGACACCAGTAAGGTGTTACCTAGGTAATATCTGAAATGGTGTCGCGAGAAATACGGTTCTGCCGGTCGCGAAACCGCGTAGTCAGGCCTTTACGTGACCTTGACGTATCCGTTACTCGAGCCACAAATTTCGCGTCGCGTTTCGGTGTGGCTACGAGTCGTACGCGACAAGATATCCTCGAATGCATACCGAAAAGGTGACGTTCCGCGGATGACATCTTCCATGATGTCAAGAAACGCGAAAAAGCTTTATCGCGACGTTCATTCAATTTTCTCGCATGTGTGTACCACCGGTGTATCGTCGATAAGTAATCTTATCGTGTATCGTAATCGGCTACGTGAGTGCCGCCGGTACGGCATTACCCGGGTAATGCCCGAGATAAACTTGACACCCTGTCCGCATTCGGTTCGGTAGAAAGCGCGAAACTTGGACACGATCGACTTCGGTTGACGCGCGCGCGACGCCTTTCAAAGGCGATCTCTGAATTTGGTTCGACTCATTGAAAGTCCACGCGACCAACATTTATGGATCGTGGATCGAAGCGTACTACAATTCTGGACATGCGGAGAGTGGCGATGGTAAGGTCTCGCGACGGGTGATGTCCAGTACCACATATGGATTTCGCGAATTTAAATTCTGAAAGAGATACGCTTTTGATCGGGAATACTAACTTTTCCACTGCTTGACCACTGCAGATGATACCCATTTGTGACATATAGAATTTTTGACATAGGCCAGTCGACCCAGGGGACGAGTGGTACTGGTCCTTCTAGCGAACTCATCACGATTAGTCCAACGTATAATCATCTTTATGGGAGTTCTATCATGTTTTGAAAATTAATGTGTTCACTGCTCTCACAGGAGTTCGGATCACCAACTTTTCGCTCCTCCTATATTCTTTATTCTAACATCTCTGTCAGGTACATATTTAAAAGTTAAATGGAATTAAAAGAGTTGAAAATACATGTTCATATGTACATATATTATGCTTGCCTATATAATGTAATAGTAGATAAATACTCTCATTTTAATTAGAAATGTCAAGTATTAAAATGTTAATAATGTTGGGAATTATTAACAGTTTATTTATATCCTGTGTTTTAGGGATGTCACGAGACTATGATAGACGAAGAGGAGGTAGCGGTGGTGGTAGCAGTTCTAGTAAGTTAAGGATGGATACCAATGTATCACAACCTAGACCTCATGGTGAAAATTCAGGAAAACGGAGAGAATTAGATAGTGTAATGCGGAAAGCTCGCGAATCTCAATCAAGTTATTGGAATAAAAAACTATTGGAGGTAGAGGAGCGAGATCCAAATAGATGGAGACATAGTGGATACAAGGAATTATATGTTGGTGGCACAGCAAGTGGTGAACCTAGCAGAGCACATCCTCGAAGCCCAAGAAGTCCCAGACCTAGAAGTCCTCATATCCCAAGACCACGTAGTCCTCGAACTAGAAGTCCGCGTTCACCTCGTGATAGATCACATACTAGAGGAAGACCTACTCGCAGTCCAAGCACAGGGAGTACCTGTTCTGACCGATCATGCAGTGTCTGTTCACCAAAAGAACGACGACGCATTGCTCAGCCTTCTCGTTCGCGTTCAAGATCACTTACGCCAATTCGACCTCGAGCACATCCGAAAGAAGTTATACCATCTAGTTCACGAATAATACCAACTCGAACTAGACCACGATCACCTCCTTTACCACGTCCACGTACACCTCCACCTACACCACAGCCTCCTCCACGTCACCAAAAGGATTACAAGACAGTTAAAGAAAAAGAAACGAAAGTGCGGCGTAAAGAAAAACATCATGCTAGAATTCCAGAAGATCCACGGGTTCCAGATCCCATTCCATTGGTAAAACATACTTTGTTCACAGTTACTTATGAATACCTGTTTCTTAAAATAGTATATTTTTACTTATATTTTTAATCGTTTTTTCCCACTTACATATTCTTTTCTATTTCATTATGTAACTATGCAACTTGTACAGATGCGTAAACCTGTAAAGGTAGAAAAAACTCATTCAAGTCATGGATCAGCTCAAATGATTAGGCCTGCACCTGAATCCTCACCTAGCGAAGACAGTGATAGTTCTTCCACAACATCGCATGTTGGTCCACCTAGAATGACATTATCAGAACGGTATGATTTAAGTAGCAATGTGTTACAGATTTAAAAACTGTAATGATCAGAGAAGCAGTATCTTTATATTTCTTTACGAATTATTATTTTAATAACGTTTATGAATATAAAGCATTAACATAATAATGACTGTATCATGAAAAAATAAAAATCTTGCAAGAATATAAAATTGTTTTAGATTTGGCAAAATGGCACAGTGGAGTGTAGATCGTAGGGACATGGAAAACATGAGAATCACAAAAGATGGAGAAAACGCAATGAAAGTTGTAATAGAGGGTGAAGAAAGAATTGCAAGATTAGGATATGATTCTCCACCACCAGGGCATTATCCTGAATCACTTTTAGCACAAGGACCAAGAGGTCTTGAATGTTGGGATGATGTCCGTGTTAGATATGATTATTATAAAGCAAGAGGATATCTTCGAGATCTTACTTTAGATGATTATATAAAATGGGAAGAATGGTGGTATAAATATCAAGAATGGTTAGAGGCAGAACGCTTTTATGAACAATGGGCCTCTTCAAACCGTCCTTCCGGTGGCAGTCGCAAGAGACGTGGGCGACGCAATAACGCAGCTCATTGAAATTTCGTAAGCCCGTTATAGATCATACTTGATTCATAGACATTGTCATTAATAAAATATATTGTAATATTTGTTGTGCTTAGAAAGGAGTGCAAAAAGTATGTACACGCTCTATACAGGCATACATGCATTCATATAAAATCCATGCTCCCGCGCGTATATATATATACATATACATATATAAATATATATATATATATTACAATATAAA